ATTTGCACAGCATCACAATCATTGTTCTTATTGTTACTGCTCTACTTCGTAATTCATTGCTAACAACGACAAGACAAAATCGTTTCCGTTTCGTTTGATAAATCCACTTAAATAAAAGATATTAAGTACTTTGTTTGGGTTATGTTTCAAATTCTTGAGATTTAGATTTTTATGTTTGAGAGTGAGGTGCTTGACTTGGTTACAATTGGATGCAGCAATTCCAAACCAAACATTGATGATATCTTGAAAACCAAACGTCAGTTTCACAAATCTCACTAACCTCTTAAGGCTGCTTAGTTTGTAAGATTTGGATATATGCACACTATGTCTGATGTAACTATCTTTTTGCTAACGTCGCTTCTTTGGTAACTTTTTAGTAAATAAACAAGTTGGTTGTTTTTGTTTCTTGTTCATTGCACGCCACTCACCCATGATTAACATGGAATGCTAAACTTAGTTTTTCGTCTTTTTTTCTCAGAGCTTTCGTTCTGGCTTGCAAATATTGAACAGAATGATTTTGTGGCCCGCGCTCGTCATTCTTTCAGTTATCAGGCCCGCAGTAAAAAAAGTTTGGTGACCCCTGCTCTAGACATTCAGATTGCCCCACGATTACTGTCATTTCGTGATTCTTTCCAACTCCAAACGTATTTTTTCATTACAGTCCATTCAGCTCACATCCCTGCCCCTATGGTATGAATTCAACGAATCACATGACAGCATCAATCAATGGAACTCTGCTGTTTCCTCGAATTATAATTTCAGAAAACTATTTATTGATAAAGGTACGCAGAGGAATTAGATATGGAATGATATTACACATCCTTATCACATTTATTATCGAACATAAGTGAATTTCAGGCGTAAGAAAACCACCAGGAAAAGTGAGGAGACCTACAGCAATGAAAGTGAGAAAATTAATTGAATCCCAGATAAACCAAGATCTTCCAGAAAAACATGAAACAAATGAAGGAATTTTGTTAAGCGATAGAAAGTGATGAAAATATGTAATGTGAAATATCGGTGACATAGACAAGGACACCAAAATTGTTTGATTAACTGAGAATGAATGTCTCGGTAGAATTGACTATTTCCGGATTGCAGATGAATCTCTCGGCAGAATTGATTGTTTCCGGATTGCAGATGAATCTCTCGACAGATCCATTGTTTCCGGATTGCAGATGAAGCTCTCGGCAGAATTGATTGTTTTCGGATCGCAGGTGAGTCTCTCAGCAGAATTGATTGTTTCCGATCTGCGGACAAATGTCTCGGTAGAATTGACTGTTTCTGGATTGCAGATGAATGTCTCCGTAGAATTGACTGTTTCTGGATTGCAGATGAATGTCTCCGTAGAATTGACTATTTCTGGATTGCAGATGAATCTTCCGGTAGAATTAAGCGTTTCCGGATTGCAGATGAATCTCACAGTTGAATTGACTCCATCATCAACTGAACAATTCAAAACCGTTAAAGTTAATGAAGTGAGAAAAGTTTAAGGTATTATATATCTCATTCAAATTTCATCCGTTTTGACTTACAGTGTTCGTCTTGAATAATTTCGATTGCACCCATCAGACTATCACGTATCAGTCGAATCAATAGATCGTTGGGATTGAGTGTTCCCAGACTGTGGATGATACTCTCGGTAGAATTGATTGTTTCCGGATTGCAGATGAATGTCTCGGTAGAATTGACTATTTCCGGATTGCAGATGAATCTCTCAGTGGAATTGTCCGTTTCCGGAGTGAAGATGAATTTCTCGGTGGAATTGACTGTTCCCGAATTGTTGCGAGCCGCTGAAAATATATATGCTAAACACTTCGACAAACCGAACGCATCGTACTTTATCTGATTAGCAGTGATATCAGTGTTCATTTTTGGGTCTTAATTATCATCATGTAAATTTTTGATCTCAATCTGATCAGCAAGTTGTAATGTTTGCTGAATACTGTGCACTGAATTGATCTCCATAAACCCCTCCAACTTATCAAACAAAATCGAATGCATACGAATTTTTTCGATGTGCACATTCATTGACACTATCGTTCTTCGTGTTCTGGATAGAACTCATTTTATGCAATCTTATGCATTCTGTTTCGACAACGATGGAAGGATTCGTGTTCCTTTGCAATGCATTTGAGGATATGATTCGAAGAACTGATCATCACGTTCGTTATTGAAATTATCCCACCCCATGGCTCGAGTTTATTGAGAGATAACACGAATTTGAGTGCAGCTCAGAGATAAGCGAATACGTTTCAAATGACTACATAATACATTTCGTTTTCATTCGAATTTCATCCGTTTTGACTTACACTGTCTAAATTGCAGATATTTGATGGTTCCGATCAGACTGTTGCGTATTTGTCGAATAAGTGGATCGTTAAGTGATATTAGGTCAGCGCTCTCCACTTTGTCTTCTTCATAACGAGCTGAACAATTTAGAATCATTTGAAAGTTAATGAAGTGAGAAAAGCTAAAAATAGATCTCAATTTCACTTAAATTTCATCCGTTTTAACTTACGTCCTCCTTTTCTTCCTCTTTTTCTGTAAGCTTTGGTTCGCTGTCTTTTTCGTATTTCTCTTTGCACTTTTTTGATTGATTTGATCAGACTCTTATGCAAGCGATCACCCATTGATTCGGAGGTGGTTGTTTGGTTACGGTCCATCACTTCGCCTTCTTCGTCTTCAGGTGATGAATTCGATGAAGTTACTGTTTCCAAGTTGTTGCGAGCACCTGAAAATATGTGTGCTAAACACTTCGACAAACCCGACGCAATGTTTTTTACCTGATTAATAGTGACACCAGTGCTCATTCCGGACAACAAATGAATCTCAAATATCATCATGAA